CTTCTCCCCATGGCACACAGGGCCCCTCCTGTGGGCACTGCCAGCTGCTCTCAGGGCTTTGCCCCGCTCGCTTCCTCGAGCTGGAATATTTTAAAAGTACTCTTAGTCCCTTTGATACTAAAAAAGGGAAACAAATCAAGGCTCTGGGATAAGTTACACACAGCCTTTCCCGTTAGAGATTAAGAAACAGTGATGACTAAAGAGCCCAAGCTCTGCAATGAGGGAAACAAGTGCAATTTAGTGTCCGGGAGAGGAAAAAGATTTGCCTCGTGACTCCATCTAATGTGAAAATCACCATCCCCAAGACATGATTCAGCACTCAGCTTTCAGATTAATCTGACTCAGCTGCCTGGAAGCAGGAACACTTGAAATTTTATGCCAGTATTATGCCAAGTGTCACTAGAGGAGACTATTGTCCAACAGCTGCAGACAGAAAGATTAAGCACCAACATTATGTTTTCCATTTGCAGCCACCTCTCCCAGTCCCATTCCTGCAGCACCTCTATTAGTGTGGGACTGAATGGCAAAGCCTGGGAGGATCTGGCTCTGGCTGTCGAGCTTTAGGCAACTCTTTTCATTTCTCTCTGCTAATGTGTGCTCCTTTCTGGAAAAACTCATTTTTTTTGCCTCTTTAACTTGTGTATTAATCTCCATTGAACTACACAAAATGAATTTCAATCTCCACGTTAAAAAAAAAAAAAAAAAAGGAGGAGGATGGTTTTTTGATTCGCACCCTTCTTGATTTTCATCTATCAACCTTTTCTGCTTAAGTGCTGCTTAATCAAAAAAAAATCCCAGATGGCTCCTAAGATTTATCATGGCATCACTGAAATGGAAAATGCTGTAGCTCAGCTCCCACATAGAGTTGGTCATGAGACCAACCTTACTAATCAAATATACATATATTTATACATTTATATATGTATTTATATATGTATATGTTGTATATATTATTTATAATCAAATATATATTTTTATATATATAAAAGCAAAGGGAAAAAACCCACCAAAACAGAAAACCCCGAAACACCTCTGGGTTACAGCCTATGCTATATGGTTTTTATTCTATATGATATTTATGCTATATTATGTTTATCCTATGTTAGATTTATCCTATGCTAGATTTATCCTATGTTGGATTTATCCTATGTTGGATTTATCCTCTGTTGGATGTAGCATTAGGATGCTGCCATGGATTTTATAGTGACATGGGTATGTTCCATATCATCAGATTCTGGTCCCAGTGATATGTGGGCAGATATATTGCAGATATACATGGGCAGAGCTGTACAAAATTAAGATACTGCAAATTTAAGGTCTTTTCCAAAGCTCAGTGGAGTCCTTTGTTCTCCAAGTCCATGGGGTTGGGTCTTTATCAATCATTAGAAATTCAACCTGGCTGCTTTAATGGTGCCCAGGAGATTTGGGCACTGAACTGCCATTAGGTTCCAATTTAAATTAGTTATCTAAAATCCTACTGAATATTTGAAAATACTGGGATAAACAGGGGGGGTGACAGTGCAACAGGAAACCTGGATACAGGCTAAATATATCCTGGATAAGTCATTTATACGGGCAGAGAGTGCCAGGACAAGGGGGATGATTTTAAAGTCTCACAGGGCAGGGTTAGGTGGGATTTTGGGAAGGATTTCTCCCCTCTGAGGGTGGGGGGGGGCTGGGATGGAACTCCCAGAGAAGCTGTGGCTGCCCCTGGATCCCTGGGAGTGTCCAAGGCCAGGCTGGAGCAACCTGGGCTAGTGGAAGGTGTCCCTGCCCATGGCAGGGGTGGCACTGGATGGGCTTTGAGGTCCCTTCCAACCCAAACCATTCCATGATTTTACGATTCTGTCCATGATATTGGACCAAGTGGGATCATTTGCTTCCTGCAAAACCTGTTGATGAGGCAGCAGAACGAGTCTCTATCCAGTAACAACCAACCTGCAGGAAAGGGGTTTGCAAAAGTCCCTTAGTTAATGTTTCCCTTGAATTTTACTGCCTTGAATTCTTTACTACTGAAGAATTTCAATTTTAAAAAAAAAACAAAAACACATAAAATTGACTAAATACATCAAAAGAATCAGAATGAAAAAAAAATAATCCTCCAAATGGTGTGTAATAAATAACTGCTGCTCATTTACCACAGGACTGTTCACCTGGCAGGGTGTTTTGTGCAGGGGTTAGAAGTGGAACACTTATAACACATTTTCAAACACAAACACCCCTTGAGACCCCCTGATTGTCACATCAGGACTGGCTGGAGGTTCCAAAGGACCATCCCAGACACACAGATGGAAACACACACAAATGCTTTTCCTGGGGGCTACACTTATTGCCAAGAAGGATAATGTAGAAGCAGAAATTCTGCCTCTCTTAGTGTTATAAACAGAGAAAAAGAGGCAGCATGGTGCCTTAAATACACTGTGGAAGTAAGAATTCATGGAATGTGATGTCTTCACACTACAAGAAAACTGCAAATTAATGTTAACACTCAATACATGTAAATAAAGCAGAAAAAAGTATTTTACTGTCTGCATTTATCATTTTCTAGAGCTCATCTGCAACTAATCCTTCCCTGATTCGTCCCCTGATTGTGTCCTTGGTGAAGTCTCTCCTCTTGTGCCCACCTGTCCTTCCAGCAACAGCCAAAATGTTGGGACCTTCCAGATTCCTCCACCCACAGTGAGATAACAGGGGAAAGTTAAACTAAAGTTATCTTTGACTGCAAGTCATGAACCCTGACCAAGAAAATCTGAGCCCAAGGCCCTGTGTGGGGAAGGAGGGGCACAAACTGCTCTGCCCCTGCTTCTCACAAGCTTCTTCCCCCCCTCCCAAGCTGCAAAAGCTGCTTTATTGCTGGACTTATCCTGGTAATATTATAATAAACATGGAAAGCAATATCTGACTCAGCAATCTGAATCCATTCTATTCAGTTAATCTGAATAAAATATTGCAGGTTCGGGCACAGAAAGGTAATAATTCACAAAGGTTTAATGCATTCCTTACCAAGCTATAAAGATGCTTTTTCTTTATTTTTTTTTTAAATAAATAACAGCTCCCAAGGACTGACCTCTCAGTCATTTTTTGCCCAGCTAACTCTGAAATAACTCTTTGATATCTACTGAAAATGAGAGCTATTAAACCTGGTAAGAGAGGAGCTCCTTCCAGCTCTGGCTCCAGCAGCTTTCCCCAGCCTGGCTGTAGCAGCAAGTAAAAACCCAGGTAATTAGGAGAATATGAGAATAGGGCACAAAGAAATGTACTTTTTCTGCTACAGATTTGGGATTTCAGCTAATTACTGTCCCAGGGGCTCCTGAGCCACAGGAGGCCCCTCAGCTGCTCCTGGAATAACCACTCTGGGGCTGGTTTTGAAGGTGCTGCTGGAGCAGCTCTCCCTGAGCTCTGAGCCTGGACAGCCCCAAGGTTTGAGGCATCTCAGAGCCCCAGGAATGGAAAACCCCCAAACTCCAGAGTTCCTGTGATCTCAGTTCATTATTTTCCCATCAGATCCATCACTTTTGCCCCTCTCCTTCATTTGCCACTGGCATTCAAGGTCTCTTTGCTATTAATGCCACACAAGGCAAGTGATCCTTCCATTTTAATACTATAAACACTTCTCATCTTTGTTTTTCATGATTTTTCCCACTTCTAGATATTTCCTGTCCTGATCCCTCCCATCCTACCATATAGAAGTTAATCTACCTTAAACTGCACAGCATTGTCAAAAAAGAGAAATCCTGCCTCTCACTGTCACATTAAAGAGCTCCTTGTTTCTCAGATTTATCTGTGGTATTATAACCCTCTTTGTTTTAATTAGTACTAATTAAATAATTTATGCAATTGCATGACAACAATAGCTCTTCTGGATTTTTTTTTTTTCCTGTTTAAGAGTTCTTCAGATAACTCATGTCAGCTGTGCACTGCTTTTAAAGACCTGTATCAATGGAAAGCATCAATCCCCAAAGAAAATTCCCTTCCCTTCCAGACTGTTTGCCACTAGGGACTAAGTCAAATTGTCCATTCATCACAGTTGTTAATCTGAGGCTCAGCTCCCACCTCTCAAACTCCTGCCTGGAGGGATTTTTTGTGTGGGTGTCATTCAGATAATCCCACAGCTGATTCATTACAGGATTCTAAAGCAAAGGATCAAAACGATCCCTTTTGATTCTGTGACATATGAACACACAGAACAAAGATATCCTTAAAATTCAACGATGTGCATAGGACAGACTCAGGGTCAGAGCCACAAAGACCATTCCATGGCACAAATATTAGTTTGTATTTCAGTTTTGGGGGTCAGGAGTCCTCAGGGCAGCTCCTCAGGCTGCCACAGCATGGAATAAACTGCATGATCCTTCTTTTACCTAAGTTTACCTTGGTGGGGAGAAGCTTTTCCAGGCAGAAGACACGTGTGGCCTTGGTACATCTCCCAAACACCACAGGCAGGATGAGATCCAGGCTCCTCTCACCTGAAGCTTAGATTTGATCAAAACTTGAGTGCTAAGCAATAATTCCACCTCAAACATTCCCACAGAGGTTTAGCTCGTGTTTCTGCAGGGCTTGAGCACAGACAGTGCCCAACTGTGTCCCTCATCCCACTAATTTACAAACCACTGGGGGTTCACAACACTTCAGCTGATTCCTGCCAGCCCCTTCCCCCTTGGAGAAGGTTCATTATCCCCAGCAGGTGACCACTGGTGGCTGGTGGGGATGAAAAGGAGGCAGCAGTTCTGTAAGTGCCAGGGAACTGCCAGCCTGCCTTTGCCATGGATGGTCCTGAGGAAGCTTTGTCTTCTCCAGTGACTCTGCCACATGTAAGGTCTCACCTTCTGAAGCTCATGTGAGTCCATATGGAAAAAGAGGGCACAGCAAACTTGGATTGTTATTTATGGACTGAAAATCCCTGCAGGGAATGGCACAGGACATGCCTGTGGGGACAGGGAGAAGGTCCATTGCTGACTGGGACAGCAAATTCCCAGCTGTGTTCTGTTCCCAAGGGCTTTTCCTGCTCCTCTCTGCTCATCCAGCTGATGCCAGCACTGGACACACTTGATCCAGATGCACAAAATCCCTTCTCCCAGAGGTCCAAAGGCTCCTGGTGCCTCCCTTTCCTTGCTGATCCATTTTCACAGGATATTCCCCGTGCAGCCTGTCCTGTGCATAACCCCTCCCAGTACCCCTGAGCAGCACCTCTGAAGAGGAACCACTCTCCAAAACAATCCTTCCCTGCAAGGAAAACCATTCCCCCAACTTCAAGGTAAAATTCCTCACTCAGACCCGAAGATGAGGCAGCTCCAAGTGAATATAGCAGGGCTAGGGGCAGCCTTATAAAGTCCTCATTTAAATCCATTACCAAAACAAGGCAGAGTAGGAACTTTTCTGCTTTGCACAAACCTGAAATATCAAGGAGTAAATGCAGTGAAAGTCTCTTCTCTCTCCCCAGTGAGGTATCCCAGTGGCATCAGCCACTTAAGATGTTTTCTTACATGAAAAAAAACCCTCTGCAGCTTTGTATCCTTCCTTGTGTACTCAGCTTTGTGTGCCCCAGAAAATCATCCCAAATTTGCATCTGCCCAGATCAGAGCTCTAAAAGCCCATCTCATTAAACAATGTGAAAGGCACTGTTCCATTTTCAGCACCAAAGAGATGCAGGAAGGGATGCTGAGGAGAACCAGGAGCCCTGACAACAAGAAGTCTTGAAATCATTGATAGTGATTAATTTAGAGGGAAAATGACCGAAGTGAGACACAATAATCACCTTTAAATATGAAAAAGATTTCTGCAAGAACAAGAATTTATTCTCTGTGTCCATTGTGGAGTAGCACAAGTAGCAGCAGGCTTAGAGTGAAGTAGTGGAGATGTAAATTAGGCACTGGGGAAAAAAGCTTTTAAGCTTTGAAACTGGGAAAAAAGCTTCAAAGCTCTGCTGGCACTGAAATGGCCCCAGAATGAAACACTGGGAAGACACTGAGCACATACACACATGAAAAGTGTGAGGAACAGCACATGAAAAGTGTGAGGAACAGCACAGGAACACCACTCACCTCAGGGCAAGGGAGTGGGCTGAAGGATTTCCCACATGCCACCAGTTGTTCTCCAGGATTTTGCAGTTTCCCTCCAGATGGACACCAGTGGTTGGTCTCCTTTGGGAATTCTCTTTGAAGTGATGGAGATGTGTGCCCAAGGCAAGCAGGGAAGGCTGGACCAGCACTATCTGTTCCACAGCTCAAAGGAAGGTTTTGTTGAGGGAGGACTTTGGTTCCTCCTGCTCTTGGCAGCCTGTCTCAGCTCCAGGAATAACTCCAAGAACTCTGGAAGTGCCCCCTGAGCTCCCCCTCCCTGGGTGGGTGATGGTGCTGCTGAAGAGATGTGACACACTGAAACAGTGACAATCAAATGGCAACAGAAGAAAGTTTGGGAGGCCTCTGCTCTCTCCTCATTCCCCAAATATCGTGCCAGAATGGGTCACTGAAGTGCTGACATTTGCACTTGCTGGAACACGGGCTGCTCCTGCTGCTTTGGGAAGTGCTGAAGACCTGCATGTATTGATACATCTAATTTTAGCCTTAAAACCTCCAGATACATCAGAATTTATTCCAGCTCTCTGGGCACAATATTTCACACACTGTCTTCCCTTTGACTGTGAGGAACTTCCCTTCTTTGCAGTGACATTGCACATGTTACTAACTAACAGTGCCAAAAACTCGAGTTAATTCCCCAAAACAGATTATTAAGAGGGCGAAGTGTTCACAAGGGTGTCAAGTATAAATTCTCTTTTATAACAGAACTAAACAAATATGATTCCAGAAAGCACAAAAAGGTGCAATAACCTTCCTGAGGTTCTGCATTGGGGGGTTTATATGCAAGACCATCCACCAGCTTCCTTTGAGCTGGGGTTTACAAGGCAGGCACGGGAGAATTACATTTTTATTGATTTAACTCTTCACCACGAGCAGGCAGATTGGACAGCAGCAATGACTAAGATTTGTGACACCACCTGAAAGAGCCATGTGCAGAAAAAAGAGAGTATTTAATGCATAAACAGAGGAGTAACAAGGAGAATGTTGTCCCCCATGCCAGGGTCAGATCCCTGCTCCAAGCAGGAATTCTCCAGCACTGCCAGGAGATGCTCCTTTTGACACTTCAAAATCTCTGTGTGCTTTACCATCTATAAAATACACACTCTGGAGGCAGAGAAAACAAGAGGAACTAAAGAAAACAAATAAGAGGAACTAAGGAAAACAAATAGGAGGAACAAAAGAAAACAAATCCAAGGAAGTAAATCATTGCTCCATTATTTAGGAGGTGCCATGGCCGGGATCTGCAGGAGGAGGAAATAGTTCAGAATAACCAACTCTGTAATGTTCTTCCTCCAGCCCAATTCTCCCCTGACATCATAAAACACAGCCCAGGAGCATTCCCTGGCAGAATTAAATAAACATTGGGGGAGGGCTGGATGTGTCAGGATGCAGAAGCCTGGAAAATGCAGGGCTCTCCTGAGACAGGGCTGAGCTCACAATCTATTTAGGACTTTCTTTTGAACCTCAGCGAGTTTTATCTGATGAACATAATGATATTAAACTGTTTTTCATTACCCATTAAAAAATGAACAAAAAGGATAAAGCTGCTAGAGACTCAGGCTGTTTGAAAGGAATCAATAGGCTGAATCCCTGCTCATAAAATAAAGCACTTTCTTTAAACTAAAAGGAATTATTTGGACATGAGAAACTGGTCTGGCAAAAAGTAACTTTGGAGAAAAAATATCCTAGGAAGGTTTAAGAAAGGAATTTAAAATGTACTCATGTAAATAAGTATATAATATATAAATATGTTAAATATATATAAATATATTAAATATATATAAATATATTAAATATAAAAAATATATTAAATAAATATATATTATATACATTATAAATGTATATGTACATTTGTGTGGATGCACATAGACACAAGAAAAAACCCAAATTCACCAGCCTGGAGGGGGTTTTGAGTCAAACACAAGTTTTAGGTACAGCTCAGGGAAATTGGAGAGAGTTGAAACAGGGCACGAGAGGAGACAGGAAGTTTGAGGCACAAGGCAAACCAAAAAACTGTTCTGCACCTGAAAACCTAAAAAAAACCACGTTTAACATTTCAGAAATCCCTGTTCATTTTGGTGGGAGACACACAGATCCATGCAATATCTCCATCAGGAACCAGGACCCAAGAGCAGAGTTAATTGGGAATTTTCCAGTCAATTTTTTTTTTTTTGTCAGAAAAATACTGATTTGTTCGGAGCTGCCACTTTTCCCAGGAATTCCTCCATTTCAAGGAACACTTGTTAAGGAAGGTTTAGTCACACCTGACAATTTCTGGTCACAATGTGAGAGAGAATGTTTGTAACAACAGCTGCTTCCCAGAAAAGCTGTGGATTCCCCATCCCTGGGAGTGTCCCAGGCCAGGCTGGAGCACCCTGGGCTGGTGGGAGGTGTCCCTGCCCATGGCAGGGGGTGGCACTGGGAGGGTTTAAGGTCCCTCCCAACCCAACCCATCCTGAGATTCTGTGACCCTTTTCAGACACTTGCTCTAAAAAGAAAACAGGCTCAAAATTTTGCTCAACACGTTTATTTTATACATTATTTACCCAAATTTGGGTTTCAAGGAGTAGTTGGATATCCTGGGAACCTGCTGGCAAAGCCCCACCTGGCTGGGAGGATCCAGCTCTCCTGAAGTCGCTGTTTCTCTTTGCTTCCTGCAGGACTTGAAAAATTCATTTAATTTTGGTTCAGCATGTTTGACCGAAGAAAGTCAGCAATTATTTCTCCTCGGTGATCAGAGGTGTCATCTCCACTCAGACATGGGCCACACCAGGTTCTGGAGAATGGGGACAGGCCAAGAGGCAATTAAGGAACAAAATGAAACCATGACAAACCTTTGTGGCTGGTAAATGGGTTCCTGTTCTATCTATCACTTCCAAACTATTTAAACCCACTCTTTGAAACACACCCTATTGTACACTGAATAATTAATATCATTCCTTTAATAAAGAATTTGTACATGTTAATTTGAGATATTCAAATCTAAAGCATCTTAAAATAGAGAGGCTTAATCCTCCGCTGGTGTAAATGAGGCTGATTCCTTTCAAGCCAACGAAGTTAAGCCAATTTACAGCAGCTCAGGATCAATCCTGGACGCCCCCAAGGCTTAATTAACTCTGTGTACCTTTTCTATCACATAATGCTCTCAGATGAATTCATGTTTAAGCTGTTATCACCTGTGAGATGTGCAGCGTGGATTACTCAGAGCTGCAGGAACAGGAGATTATTCTATTTATATTCTTGGCATGGCCTCCCTGACACAGGATGAGCTTCCCTTGTGAGGAGCAGCAACAATTATTGTATTTATGCATAAATAAGCAAGAAAAAAGCCCCATGTTATTGAGGAGCAAGGCTGCCCACAGGTAGAGCTGGTGTAAAGAATTCCATCCTCGAGCTTGCAAACACAGCTCAAAAATGGAAAGGAAAAAAGAACCTTCACCCAAAAAGTCTTTACTATTGGAAACATCTAATACTGCAGCTGGAGGATGGGGGCAAAAGCAACAGTAAATGTAATTATATTGCAATTTTTATCCAGGATTAGGGGGTGGGGTGGGGGGAGATAATTATCAATACAGCTCATTGAAAATATCACCAAGGCCTTTCTCCAGAACCTGGGGGTCCCCACAGTGTCACCACTGCCTGGTTACGGCTCTGGAAGGAGCTCTGGAACATCTGTACTATTTTGAAAGGTTTTTAATCTTTATTGCTCCCATCTTTGGTCTATTCCAGGATACTGTCTCCTAACAAAGTCCAAAACACCGTGGCGTTGTGGGCTTGGCACATTAAATTTTCATGTGCAGCTACTGGAGACAGATTTATAAACTAATTAAGTCTAACAATCTCTGAAGCACTGCTTGTGTGTGAAGAGGCTCAGATCAACTGAGTTGTTCCAAAGGATAAAACCCCAAACTTATCCAACAGGAACATTCGAGAACCAGCCCAAAATTATTCCATGTCTGTTGTAAATCGACCCAAGTGCAAACACCTCGTGCAAAATTATTCCCAAGTCATTAAATTCCTTGATTTTGGGGGAAAAAAAGAAACCTTGGAAGCATTCTTTCCCCTCCTCTATTCCTGTCTGCACTTATCAGTTTTTCTCCTGCTTCTGATCCAACTCCAAGCAAAGTTGCTCAAGCAAGAAGTGTCACTTCCCCCTCCAGAACTGGGATATTCTGTTGGGCTGGTGTGAGCTGGGAACAAAGAGCACCTCAAGCTCCTTTTAGTCCTGTCTCTATTTGTTTTCCAGAGCAGGAACACACAGGATTCAGTTTGTTGTTGCCTGTTTGCTCCTGTCTCACATGGAAAAGAGATCCCAGTGAGAGAGATTTTTGCCTCCACCCACGTGGAGAAGGAATTTCCCAGAGAGCCCCAGGTGACTTAGGGAGTTATTCTCCCCAGGATACTCTTTGTTTTAATATGTGGGCAAACACAGAAGGTGTTAGATGCAAACACCTCCCCATGTTAATAAATTACTCGATTTTGGTAAAAAAAAGAAAGCTTGGAAACATTTTTCCCCTCCTCTATTCCTGTCTGCACTCACCAGCCCTTCTAACCCAACCCCAACCAAGTTGCCCAAGCAAGGAGTGCCCCCTCCAGAACTGGGATATTTTGTAGACTGGTGAGAGTTGGGTACAACTGGTTTTAGTCCTGTCTATATTTTTTTTCCCAGAGCAGGAACACACTGGATTCAGTTTGTTGTTGCCTGTTTACTCCTCATGTCTCACATGTATTTTCTGCCCTCTTAGTCACTTCAATTTGCTTGTTCCTCACAAAAATTCCATAGCAACCTGTATTTAAGAAACTCTTTCTCCTCCTGCAGTTTTATTGTAAACAGCCATTAAAACAAAAGTTTCAAACCACAATTAGCTGATGAGCAAACATCTCAGACTAAGCTTTTCCAGTTGTTTTTCCCACCACAATGGACTATCAAAACCAGTCTTTTATGATTCCCTATTGCAGATTTTGATTGTTTATGAGCAATTTTCAAATGGGAGAAGATGCTTTCTCTGGAGAATTTAATTCTGACTGTTATTGCCCATGGATTCTAGAAACTTCTGAGCCTCCCACATTGAAAATGGGTTAAATTCTTCCCAAAGCTTCACTGGAAGCCCTCACTGGACCCTTGGGATGTGTACAACATTACCATTATTTAGATTTGTAATGATTTGATCAAAATCCTCTCTTTCTGCACCCAATTCCTGCCAATCTGAACACACAGATGTAGATTTGCAGGGCTGCAAGAAGCCCTGTTATAAATATGGGCTGTCCTGGCAATTGTCTCTGAGTTCAAACAGCTCAAGGAATATCTCCCCTGCAGAAAAAAATGTAAAAAATCACTTCTAGAATCCAATTGAGCTGTAACACCCCAGGAAAGGGCTGTAACACCCCAGTTAAGGGCTGTCTGAGAGAGTTTCACTGGTAATAAAGCTGGAATTATACTGTACCAACCCAACTGGAAAAGGAACCAGCTCACACGTGTGAACCTTTGCCAGACTTGACCCAGTAAAATATTGATAAGTACAGGCCCAATGGAATAAATCCACTTCTACCCTGCTCCTGCTGACAAAGGGGAAGATTTAGCTAAGCAAGAGCTTGACTCAGAGCTGCTCTGCTGGGCCTGGCTCACTTAGAACACATCAAAACCCAGCCTAAGACCTGCCCTGAGATTGATGGGCTTCTATTACTGCTCCAGACTCAGTCATATATAACCCATTGTTTGGGCAATAACTTTGATGTTTTCTTACTTCCCAGGACTGTGCAGTGAGGAGTTTGATATATGGAGCGTTTAATGCACATCTACATGAAATACAAGTAATTCATTTTCATTAAGGGAAGATATGTGTAAATAACTGCAGGACACATTCTGACATCTTTATTATTTGAAATCAATCACTCCAAAACTCCTCCCCCTGTTGTGAGTAGGATCCTTCACCATGGCAAGGGCTTTCTTTTCTTTTTTCCCTTCTTTTTCTCTTTTCTTGTCTCTGTTTTTCCCTCGCTTTTTTTTCCTCATGGTATTGAGTATTTATTGGTATTTATTTGGTATTTATTTCCATAGGATTTGCATGGGATTTGAGGGGACAGGTCTCTCTCTTGAGAGGCTCTGAGGAACTGCCTCACCCACCCCATTATATTTATTTATGAAGTTCCCTTGAAACTGGTTTTATTTTGCCTGTGACAGTTTCAGATCCTGTTTCCCTGTGCATGTTGAGGTTTCTTTAGTGTTTTACACTTCTCACCCAATTCAAACCTGTTCACTGAACACCAAAGGTGACACTTTCCCCTGCATTTAGCAGGGAGGGACAGAGTGACAACTACACAGAAAAAGCCTTGCCCAGCTCACAGCAATTTTTATATATTTGGGCTGAAAAGCATCTGATGGATTTTTCTTTCCCCAAAAAAATTCTTCCCTTTGCTTTTATTTTGGCATCAACAGCATCTCCTGGCACACTGTTTGTTTTGAACCACCCACTCAGCAGTTCCCTCAGACAACCTGTAGGACATGAGAGACTGGGAAGAGCCTTTCTCTGTTTTAATTTCATACCAGGTGCCCCCTCAAATTATTCTCTTTGAGAGGCTGAAGACTCTTCACTGGTTTATTTCCAGAGCTTTGGTAAATCAGGACAAAGGCAGAAGCTTACCTATTAGAAATCTGACTAATTCAATTGAAATTAGACTTAAGACTGGCTTAAGCTCCAAATTAAGTCTCTGCAAAGCTGCAATTGTCAATATTGGTCCAGCCCACAGAACCAGCCCCGTTTCTGTGATCATTGCTCCCTGCTGGGTAATTCTCACTTTATTTCAGTTTATATCAGCTGCTCCAGCCTGTCTCTCTTCTGACAAATCCTCTGGGGGAGCAGCTGAGCCTGCCCCAGGAACTGGAGGTGATGGGATTGTGCTCATGGCCTCGCTCCGGGAGCTGCAGCACTGGGGGCACAGAGAATCATAGAATCATAGAATCATAGAATCATAGAATCATTGAATCATAGAATCATAGAATCATGGAATCATGGAATCAGAGAATCATAGAATCACTGAATCATAGAATCATAGAATCATGGAATCATGGAATCATGGAATCATAGAATCATTGAATCATAGAATCATAGAATCAGAGAATCATTGAATCATAGAATCATAGAATCAGAGAATCATAGAATCATTGAATCATAGAATCAGAGAATCATAGAATCACAGAACCAGCTGGGTTGGAAGGGACCTCTGAGATCATCCAGTCCAACCCTTGATCCAACCCCGCCGTGGTTCCCAGCCCATGGCAC